GTTAATTTACTTAGGTTTTAGTTATGTTAATTAGGTTATCTATTTAGTTATGAATTTAGATAGGTTTCAAAATTTGCTGAATTTATATGCAAATTTGAACTGGACATGTGATATGTGGATATGTCATGTTTTGGACATGTCATGTTTTGGTAAATGATCCGAGTTGCCTATGTTACGCCAGAATGTTGATTTATTTCCGTTCCGGTGAATTTCAGGCGCTCGATATGTCCATTTTTTAGCAAAGGTCATGCCGAAATTTCCCGTGAATAAAGGCATGATTTGTGCTACATAGTTGGCATATCGAGTGCTGGCACATAGATTTCTTTTTTATCTCATTTCTCATTTATTCATACTTTTAGAAATAAATGAGGACACTTAATCATAGGAAACATGTCGAACAACGAAGAAACTGGGCCTTCTGACCAAGATGCAGACGAGATGGATTATGAGGGTGAACAAGACTACCTCGACTTTTTGACTGCTAAGCAAGGTTTGCAGGTCCGCCTCGATGATGGTACTGACGCCGACACCAACACCGACGGCGCCGGCACCGATGGCGGCGCCGAGACCGGTGTGGAAGGTACCGCCGGGGAAGATACCGGCCGATGCCGGTACCGAAAAGAGGCATAAGAAGCAGAGGATACGAAAACCTAACAAAGTAGGGATTGGACGACTTGTGATCACAAAGATGGCACCTAGCAAGTTTGAGCCATTAGAGCCGGAAGAACCTCGCAAGTGCTATGGGAACCAAGTAGGATGCATCCTACGGGAATGCGCGAGCATCAATGACGATGACTTAAGGAGTAAAGAACATTTGACGCAGTTGCTCCTAACAAAGTTGCACAAGAGATTCAAGTTCCCCGATCGGGATGATAACATAGAACAACCGTGGGATGATCCGAAGATGAAAAAGATTAACAATCACGCCATGGGCATGTTCAGCAATGATTTGGCCTCCTGGAAATCGAGGGTGAAACGAGCTATTGAGGCTGAGGAACCCCTGTCCAAGATTCTAGAGGAAAATCCGACACTTACGGAAGAGGAGTTCGAAAAGTTCAAGGACACTTGCGCTACCGAGGACGCCAAGGCTAAGGCTGCGAAATTCAAGAGCCTTCAGCAAAGGAACACGGGGAAGCATCGCCTCGGAAGCCGTGGCTACCTCGGTAAAAGGCCCATATGGGATAAGGAGGACGCGGAACGTGAAGCCGCGGGTCTCCCAGACCCCTTCGCGAAGTTCACCAACCCCTTGGAGCATGACTTCATCAGGGCCCGCTACAAATGGGACAAGGAGAAAAAGGTTTTTTACACGGACAAAATCACGAGGAAATTGATTAGACTACTGGAGAAGCAACACCAGCTTGCAGCCGAAAACCCTACTTCTCCGATGAGGCCCAAGTGGGACACCCCTCTCAACCGGGCCTTGAACGAACTTAAGGGACTCCCTTTGGGCCAGCGGCCGCAATATGGTCGTGTGCACGGCGCTGGAGATGGCGCCACGTGGAAGGTGTTTTACAACGAGGGCTCGGAGGCCAAGAAGCAGAAAAAGAAGTTTAGTCAGGCGGACATCGACGCGAAGGTGAAGCTTGCAGTCGAGAAAAAAGCAGCTGAGGACGCGAAAAAAGCAGCCGAGGACAAATATGAGTTGCTACAGCAGGCAGTCAATGCAGCTGTAACTGCCTGCAGAAATGATTTTGCTACTAACTTGGTTCCAGTTATCATCAACTGGACGAAGGAAAATCCAAACAAGACGGTACATGATTTCCCGTTGCCCAGTTTCGTCGGGAGCAACTCCATGAACAACAACACCATCGCACCATCACTTGCTCACGCAACTGGGCCTCCTCTCGCAGCCGCTCCCGCTCATAGCAGCCCGTCCTCAGTCTCTGGCGCGCTTGGTGGGCCTTCGTCTTTGGTTGAGCTCGACGCCGTCACGGTAATTACATGTCGCACCAACATATATATATATATATATATATATATATAATATTCCATTTTTGTTGCCTTTCGGGTGTTTTACGCCACAGACATGTGTTTGCAGGCGAAAGAAACCCCGTGCACCATACTCTACTTGATCAAAGGCCAGAAGGTGGACGTGGGAAAGGGGATGATAATAGACCCCTTGCAATCCACGTTCCACAACCAGCCGATCCCTGTTGGGCACTTCAGGGTTAGCTTGTCCAGTGTGAAATCGGGGCACGAGGATTTGCCTCCTCCAGTACAGCATGTGGAAGCGGACGACGAGACCCCGCCGCGGATTGGAAGCTGCAAGGGTTGGGTGCTGCTATGGCCGAAGAATCTTATTCATCTGGAGCCGGCCGAGAGCACACCAATAACCACACATCAACAAGCATGTGCGGAGACCACCACCCCGCCTACGCAATTACCAGCTCCTGTAGTGCCGGGTGAGAGCGGCGGACGACATGATGAAGGGGGTGCAATAGTGCTGGCTGATGTAATTTGTCCTGTAGAACAGAGAATGGATGATGAGACAGAGGTCGACCCTATGGATTTCCTCAATACAAACGCGTATGACTGTGACATAGAATTGATGAGTCAACCATATGACGAATCGAGCTATCAGCTTGCTAATGAGGATATGGATGATATGCCCGGGCAGGAAGGTCGTAGCAGGGATTGCAAAAAGTCTCTCTTCATGAAATCCTCACAGGACACACCTGAAGATGCCGCCTCAACACAGGCTCAACTATCCCAGCGCGAGGGTCGTACAGTACTTAGCCCGGGAACACTGGGGCAGGGGTTAAGGAAGGGTCTAGAAGGTGTGCCCAAGAAAAAGGAGAGAAAGAGATCGGGGAAGATAGCTGCCTCCAAACAAGCCAGAGCACATAGCAGCCAAACGATGCATTCTGAAGAGCGTGTACCCGTGAAAGGTGCGGCCATGTTCCATCTCACGGGCGAGCCGATGCTACCGCCGAAACCGCTGGAGGCACTAACAAGGGATCTCAGGAGACTGCACGACCATGTGATGTCGACTGAGAAAAGCCTACTAGCCTCAAAGGATCCAGGATATCCGGCATACGCGGCTCGTGTGCCTGAGGGGAAGTGCTACGTCGAGACACGGCCCGCGGAGGTGTTCTTCCTGCGGTTTGACCATATCTTTGAGATGTTTCTGACAAGGCGGCTCGATTTTACAATCGTCCGCCTTTTTGCGCTACATATGAGCTCTGTCATGAACAGTGAAGAAGTCTCGCAAATCTGTGTGGCGGATCCGTACTACATGCACGAGTCTTTCTTGAGTCTCGGCGACTTTGAGCGTGAAACTGCTAGGGACTACCTCCAAAACTTCATGGTACAGAATAAGGACCGGGAAATTGTCCTCGTGCCTTATCATCCAAAGTAAGTCAGTTTCAAACAACCCTTTCATACATTTCAATCATTCCTTCTCTCTCTATGGGGAATAATTTGAGGTGTCTTTTCCCCGCAGCAACGGGCGCGCTGTCCTTATCGTTCTTTATCCGCAAGTCTCCCACGCCGTGTATTTTGACCCTTCCAGAGACTACGAGAAAAAAGACTGCACCCACATAATGAATATTCTAGATGATGCTCTCCAAGGCTTCAGCTTTAGAGGTGGCCACATGCAGATCAGAAAACAAAGGAACAAGAAGATGGGTTTCGCGCATAAAACTAACTTCTCCTGCATCCAAGTCCCAAAACCAAGCAAGAAGGATGGATTGTACATCCTCCATCTCATGATTCAGTTCAACACGGATCACCAAAAGCTTTGCATGAGAAGCAGAAATGATGATCATATCCACAAGTGGCTAGAATCTCATGGAGAAGCGGATTATAAACTTAGAGATGACTTCTTTCGCATCCAAAGCGACATTGCGACGATCATCATGAAAGAAGTCGTCGATGAGAAGGGGATGTTCCACCACGGCCCTATATCGCGAGCTGACGTCCGAACTCGCATAGGCATGCAACGTCTAGACCTCACGCCGTTCAAGAAGCTAGGGTCCATCCTCGATGATATGGAAGGATGGAACTTCTAGTCATTTATGATGCCGATGATGATGATATGTGTCGGTTGAACTTGTATACTATTTGTAGCGATGCAACTTTGTGATGTCCACGATCCCTGCCGAACTTGCGTAACGCTACTTTGTTAGTTTGCGTACGATGACCTGCGTACCTCTAGTTAATTAATTTGCATACTGTATGTTGCATCTAGTTGCTAACCCTTTCTTTTTCGGTGTTCTCTAGTATATTTTGTTGCATATATATGATTGTACATCCTCTTCATGAACATGCATCTCTAACAGGTACCTAGTTTCTTGATGGCGAGATGGAACTGCTATGTCGTGTACAAAGGGAAGGTTCCGGGGGTGTACAACGAGTGGCATGAGTGTCAGGCGCAAGTGAATGGGTTCTCGGACGCCAGCCATAAAGGCTTCAAAAGCAGACAAGAAGGAGAAGCTAGTTACTTGAGGTTCACGCTAGCGCGAGAGAGGACTCGTAACCGCCATCTCACGTACTGCATAGTTCCGCTCTCACTCATAGTGATAGCTCTTCTCGCGTATACCTTTGTTTAGATGGATGACGTTGTAGTTGCAAGTATTCGAGACTTGCATGTATCACTATTTTCGAGATGATCACAAGATACCACTTTGTGTTGGATGATGATTATGACGAGACTATTTGTATGTATATGCTATGATTACATTTGTGGTCTCGCAGGCATTTGTATGTGTATCATGATGACATTTGTATGTGCTAAAGATTCTTCTATAAAGCCTGTTCAAATACAAAACAAATATGCCGAAAAAAACAAAAAACTACTAAAATTAGCAGTAGCGAGTGGAGAAAAGTTAGCAGCAGCGCGGTTGTAGCAGTAGCGCGCACAGGGGAAGCGCGCTATAGCTATTAGCAGCAGCGAGGTTCCTTTAAGCGCGCTGCTGCAACACTTGTGTAGCAGTAGCGCGGGTGGACCAGCGCTACTGCTATACGTTAGCTGTAGCGCCTTATTAGTAGCGCCGGCCCCCGCGCTACTAAAAGGCCGAAAACCCGCGCTGCTGCTAGGCTTTTCCCTAGTAGTGGTACTACAAGTTCAATTTTGATACACAGGAAGTATTTCACGTTATTTTGTGGACAACATATAAATATATAAAGTAAACATACATTGTTATCTCTAGTTGGGATTGGAAATTTGTTTGACGATAAGTTGGGATGGAGGCTGCAAGCTAGAATGCTACCTAGTGTACTGTAAACCGAAATAATAAGGAAAGCATAATTTATTTCACATTGAATATCCCCCAGAGCATATCATCGATGATTTTACAGCATAACTTAGGGCTGACCTCAAGAAAGCCATGACCCTGAGTAAAATACTACCAGATAGTTGGAGCATAAAACAACTTGTGCTATATTGATGTATTGCAGAAGAGCCTGGGATTGTGGTCGCAGTAAATATTTACAAATTTGAAAACACTCTGTATGAACTAACTAGAGCAACTTGCATGCCAGAAATCTGTATCAGGCATAAGGTTGCATTGCATGTTTCTGTCAGATCATCACCTTGTGTGTACTGTTCTGAAAGAATATAGACAAAACATCCAAAGTACTTAAAGAGTATATCAAATAAGTATCACCTGAATCCGAAGTACCAGCATTTTCAGGAATGGTGCACATCCTTTTCATCAAACGTGTCACTAAACCATCAATTATCTCCTCAACCAGTTCATTTTCCCTTTTCGACGATAGAATGTTCTTCAGTAAAGCTGAAAGAAAAAAAATTACAAATTGATAAAAGACTGTTGTCTCAACCAAATATGGATTCAACAGATAAGATAAACAGAAAATTTCATCATTAACATAATGGTAATTTTGTCTGCACTGTATTTTGAACATGCATGTTTTGGTCTGACATTGCAGATTTAAGAACTCAAAAAAGATTCTGGATCACGCTACAGTGGTGTACGTCTATAGTAAACAGTAAATAGCAACCCTACAACAGAAAATAAGGCTGGAAGCTGGAAGTGAATTTGTAAGTCATATTCTGCAGAATATGGCAATATTGATTTGTTGCCTAGATTCCATGCCATTGGTCTGGAAACGGCCTCTTGCAGAAATGCCGGGAAAGGCTGCATACGGAAGACCCAAAGTGGTCGGACCCTTCCCCGGACCCGCTACGTGCACCGGGCTACCCTTTTTTTATTCCATGCCATTGGTTTGCCATGTCAACACACTGAAAATTATGAGCACCATGATTTATTATGTACATGTAAGGTGTGCCTGCGTGTCTATTCTATCCTGCTTGAATTGATAAATGTTAACTAATAGGGTACTAGACTTCTATATTATACAATCTGGAAAGAGAAATCTAAAATTGGCCTTTGTGTCCCATAAATTTCATTATTTCAAACAACCACATCATATCCTGCATTCTTTGAGCATGTAAATTTACATATGGACCAAATGGTGATAGTTCAGCACAAATGAAATGTAGAAGGCTGAATTTGTAGTGTAGATAAGTTTGTGTTTTCTTCCTTCAAATATTATACCCATGAAAATACTAAAACTTGAATGTACAGTAATTATTTCGGATCAATACACACCAAGGCGGAATGTCGTGTTCATCATAGTCGAGTACTTTCTTAATATCTCACTGGATTACACATCACACTATGCATAGCTTAGATTATCAGTCAGATTCAATGATGAAATTATAGCAGAATTCTGACTTACACAAAATGAAGTCTACTGCTTGGTGAGAGAATGTAGCAAATGTGGAGCAAGATTCTCTCTGCACAAGATAATCCAACGTTAGAAACATAGAAGAAACAAAATATGGGAATCTCAGTTACAATGAGAGGATACAATTATACTTTCGCAAAAATCCCATCTGATAGCTCTACCAGGAAATCAGTTGACAAGCTAAGCTGTTGTATCTCATCCTCGCTATTGAACTCTGCACAATCAAATGATTCAAACGAAGGTTTAAGCAGATAAAATTTTGCTGCAGTAACCTGAAATAGAGAGTTGTAAGAGGGGAACAATCCAAACTTCCAAATGGCGCACAGTTCATACACACTCGTGGAACAAAAAAATAAAAAGTTAAAGCATAAGGATATGTTCTGAGTAGCACCCACCCATCAAACTAGTGACGGGAAGAGATCGATCCAGTCTCCGTCGCTTCTCCTTCCACCGCGCTGTTGCGATTAAATTACAAAACACGATTGTTAAAATTTGGGGGGTTGCATAGTAGCCAATTAGTTTCATCTCGATCACAGACTCTAAAACTGTACCCAATCTGAGGAACCTCCTCCGCAGCACCTCGTCGACCCAATGCTCTCCTCCACCCGTTGGAGGCGGCGGCTGCAGGTCGCTGCACCCGTCGAAGAAGTGGCAGCGGCATGACGCAAGTGGCGGCTCCATCGCCTCCCCGCGCACCCCATCTGATCGACAACACATCTAAGTCACACCAACTGGGCGCCGGAAACCGAACGAACGCGGGCGTGCGCACTTACCTTGGAGGAGCTTGAGCTCTTCGCGGAGGCGGAGAATCTCGCGCTTCCGCTCCTTAGCCTGGGTGGGAGAAGAGGATAAAGTGAGATAAAGGTGGAATTAGAGGTTTGTGGTGAGAGGGGACGGGGGGTGAATGAGACCTTGCGCTTCCAGTGGATAAGAGGCGGGGAGGAGGTGCCTGCGGCGGCGGCGGCGGCGGCGGTTGTGGAGGGGAGGCGTTTGTAGTGGATGAGAGCCATTGCGAGGGCTGCCTTCAGCGATGGCGAGTCTATCCGGGATGAGGATGCGGCCAGCGGCGTCGCCGTCGGCGGGCGGGAGGCGGGAGCCATGGCGATTTCGGCGACGAGCAGGAGGGAGAGAGCGAAAGCCCAAATGAGAAACGGAAGCACAAGAGAGGGCAATTTGAAATGGGCACTGATAGGCGCCGGCGCGCCGGCCCAAATTTGGGCCGGTCGCAGCGCAGCCCTTCGATCCCGTGCGTGTAAGCCGTCCGATCTGTTCGTTGCCCACCCTTTCTCTCAGCCTTCGCATCCCTCGCTAAGAAAGACATGGCGGCCGCCCCTGTCTCCTCTGGCACCCAGCATCACGTGTTGCCGCCCCTCGTCGGTTTGCCTCGCCTCCGATGCTCGCCGTCGAAGCTCGCCGCCGCCGCCGCCGCTCGCCGTCGTCAATCACAAAAAAAGCCCTGTACCAGATTTTCGTTTCCCGTCCCTGCATCCATGACGGCCCCACCATGGAGTTGGCCGCAAAATCATTCCTCGCCGGTGCTGCCGATCTCGGTTGCAGCATTAATGGCGACGCGATGTCGCTCACAGCCAAAGCCAGTGGTAGCAAAAAATTAGGCTGGTTCCAACAAAACAAAAGGATGGTGGTAGCAAAAATACGTTGGTTCCAGCACAAGCCCCACATGGTTTGTAGCAAAAAAATGTGCTAGTTCCAGCAAAACGGAAAGCCGATTGTAGCAAAAAAAAATGGTTGGTTCCAGCAAAAATCCGAAGATGGTGATAACAAAAGAAGACCCGTTTGTAGCAAACAAAGTGGCTGGTTCCAGCAAATTTCAAAGACGGTGGTAGCAAAAATGAATGCTAGTTCCAGCAAAATCTGATGTAGCAAAAAATCATGGCGGCTACGGCACCACCCTTCTCTCAATTTGCAGCAAAAATGGAATAAGGTTCCAGCAAAAATAGAAGTGGTTCCAGCAAAAAGAAATGATGCAGAAATAATAATAATAATGGCGGTCACCGCCGTCGCCGCCCCGTCACCATCCTCTCCGGTTGAAGGAAATCTACTGGCCGGTCTCGAGCACCACACCTTGTCGGCGCCGCAGGTCATGACATCCCCCTTGCCTCGCGTGGTGGCGGGTGCGGTAGCGCCCATTTTGGGGGTGGGGGGGGGGCTATTGACGCGGGATGGACGTCCGGCAGGCTGGGCCGGGATCGACGGCGGTCTCTGGCGAGAAGCTTGTTTTTGGGAGATCACAGGAAGAAGATGGGCTGGGTGAAATGAATGGCTAGGGACGCTTCCAGGTGAAAGGATAAGGTAAGGCTTAAGCGGTGAGTGCGTGGGCTTGCTGCCAGCTTGGATGTGACCGGCGGAGTTTCAGCCGGTCGACCGGTTTCAAGCGTTTCCCATTTGAAATTCGTAATCAAAAAAGCTCCGCTATACCGCCTATATAACCAAGGATCTGTCTGTCTAAGACACATCTAAATGTGACATAATTATGTCATATCTAACCTTATGTCCACTATATTTGTGGTCTATTTTTTTTGTCTCAGATTTTTTTTGTTCCTTGTTGCTGTGTTATTTATGGAAACTTAGATGTGACATCCTTAAAGAACATCTAGATGTGAATTAGACAAACTGTATAACCAAACCAGGGCCATTACACTTCAGAATCTCAACGCCTGATAGGAGACGGCCTCGAATCCATTGTCACAAGAAGATCCTAATTTTGAGAGGGAGGTGAATCTTTCAAATGAAGGAGAGCGCCTCATGGCCAGGAGAGGGGGCGATGGCCAGGTACAGCGATTTGGTGGAGAATTGACCGGAAGGCTCTAGCCGCCATCTGGCCCGGTCGACGTCTGCGGTTAGATCAGGCTCGTGGAGTGCAATACAGTCAAGCAACTCAGCCGGGCGAAAGGGTCTCTAGAACGCAAGTTGCCCTAAGTCAGCGAGGGCGGACGCCACGGAGATCCGGAGGGCAACCGCGATGGAGAACAAGTCTGGAAAGCGGGCTGCAAGAGGCGTGCCTCAGTCCACCTATCGAACCAGAACAACGTGGCGGTGCCGGACCCAATCGTGATTGACGTCCCGATCCGGAGGACGGGAAGGAGCTGAATGATGGATTGCCAGAACTGGGAGCCCCCCAACCGCTGGCAGAAGGCGAGGAGGCCGCGGAGGTATTTCTGCTGAATGATGCGAAGCCACAGGCCGCCATCCCCGTTGGCAATCCGCAGAGCAACCGGGTCAGGAGGGCAATGTTCATGCGTTTGGAGGACATAATCCCGAGTCCGCCCTGGTCGCGAGGTTTGCAGATCTCAGACCACCTGACCATGTGGTACTTCTGCTTATCACTCTCGCCGGCCCAGTAGAAACGCCCCACTCTGCGGGCCTGAAGAAGACTCAAACCATATCTTCTTCACCTGCGTGTCCGCGCAGTTTCTATGGAGTTGTTTCCGCGGGATTGTGGGCAGAAGCTAGGACCGCAACAACTTCCCCTCTATCTTTGCCAAACTCCAGGCGATCCCACCCGTGTTGCGCCACATTAGGTGGCTGACCATTGGGGTCCTTGCCTGGACGTTGTGGACTGTTAGGAATAAACTTGTGATTCAGTGTATCCCTCTTCGTCGTGCTACTGATGCTTTGTTCAAATGGTCCGGTTACTTGCAACTTTGGTGGCCGCTTAGCCGTCCCAGGAAGAGAGACACCATCACCTCCATCATCACTCAGCTTCGCGCGATGGCTCTCCGGTTGGCTCCTACGCTTCCCCCACTGATACATCTCCGTCGTATCTACTTTTCCAAACACTTTTGCCCTTGTTTTGGACTCTAACTTGTATGATTTGAATGGAACTAACCCGGACTGACGCTGTTTTCAGCAGAATTGCCATGGTGTTGTTTATGTGCAGAAAAAAATATTTTTGGAATGACCTAAAACTCCACGAAACATTTTAGAAAAATAATAAAAAATCCTCGCCAAAGATGAAGACCAGGGGCCCAAACCCTGTCCACAAGGGTGGGGGGCGCCCCCCCCCCCCTCTAGGGCGCGCCCCTACCTCGTGGGCCCCCTGGATGCCCTCCGACGCCAACTCCAACTCTATATATCTCCTTTCGGAGAGAGAAAATCAGAGAGAAGAAATCATCACGTTTTACGATACGGAGCCGCCGCCAAGCCCTAAAACCTCTCGGGAGGGCTGATCTAGAGTCCGTTCGGGGATTCAGAGAGGGGGATTCGTCGCCGTCGTCATCATCAACCATCCTCCATCACCAATTTCATGATGCTCACCGCTGTACGTGAGTAATTCCATCATAGGCTTGCTGAGCGGTGATGGGTTGGATGAGATTTATCATGTAATCGAGTTAGTTTTGTTAGGGTTTGATCCCTAGTATCCACTATGTTCTGAGATTGATGTTGCTATGACGTTGCTATGCTTAATGCTTGTCATTAGGGCCCGAGTGCCATGATTTCAGATCTGAACCTATTATGTTTTCATGAATATATGTGAGTTCTTGATCCTATCTTGCAAGTCTATAGTCACCTACTATGTGCTATGATCCGGCAACCCTGAAATGACAATAATCGGGACCACTCCCGGTGATGACCATAGTTTGAGGAGTTCATGTATTCACTATGTGCTAATGCTTTGTTCCGGTTCTCTATTAAAAGGAGGCCTTAATATCCCTTATTTTCCGATAGGACCCCGCTGCCACGGGAGGGTAGGACAAAAGATGTCATGCAAGTTCTTTTCCATAAGCACGTATGACTATATACGGAATACATGCCTACATTACATTGATGAATTGGAGCTAGTTCTGTGTCACCCTATGTTATGACTGTTACATGATGAACCGCATCCGGCATAATTATCCATCACTGGTCCGGTGCCTATGAGTTTTCCATATACTAGTTTACGCTAATTTACTTTCCCGCTGCTACTATTACAATCACTACAAAATACCAAAAACATTACTTTTGCTGTCTTTACTTTTGTTACTGCTACCACCACTATCATATTATTGTGCTACTAAACACTTTGCCGCAGATATTAAGTTTCTAGGTGTGGTTGAATTGACAACTCAGCTGCTAATACTTGAGAATATTCTTTGGCTCCCCTTGTGTCGAATCAATAAATTTGGGTTGAATACTCTACCCTCGAAAGCTGTTGCGATCCCCTATACTTGTGGGTTATCAAGACTAATTTCTGGCGCCGTTGCCGGGGAGCATAGCTCTATTCTTTGAGTCACTTGGGATTTATATCTGCTGGACACTATGAAGAACTTGAAAGACGTTAAGACAACAATTTATCCCTCAACTACGAGGGGGGGTAAGGAACTGCCATCTAGCTCTGCACTTGATTCACCTTCTGTTATGAGTAAGCTAGTGACACCTAAACCTGCTTCTGCTATTCGTTCTGATATGTCGCATGTTATTGATGATGCCACTTCTGCTATGCATGATACTTATGATGAAACTGTTTCTATGCCTGATACTACTATGCCCCTTGGTGAATTTCTTGATGAACAAATTTCTAGGGCTAGAGAAAAAGAAATTATTGAATCTGAATACGATGATGATAGTGATGATGAAAATATGCCTGTTATCCCTAAGGGTTATCTTTTTGATATGGAATCTTCTGCCGCTATTTTAGCTTGCAGGGATAGATATGAGCTTAGGAGGTTATTAGTTAAATGGAATAAAGAATCACTTAGAGATAAAATGAAACCCGACCCTGCTTTTGCTACTTCACCTATACGTGTTCCTGATAAGGATTATGAATTCTCTGTTGATCCTGGTATACTTACTTTGGTTGAATCTGATCCGTTTTATGGCTATGAATCTGAAACTGTTGTGGCACATATTACTAAGTTAAATGATATAGCTGCCCTGTTCACTAATGATGAGAGATCGCGTTACTTCTATATACTCAAAATATTTCCGTTCTCATTAAAGGGTGATGCTAAGATATGGTTTAATTCTCTTGATCCTGGTTGTGTGCATAGTCCCTAGGATATGATTTATTACTTCTCTGCTAAATATTTCCCTGCTCATAAGAAACAAGCTGCTTTGAGGGAAATATACAACTTTGTGCAAATTAAGGAAGAGAGTCTCC